TACCCAATAGCCTTTATGTTACCTATGCTTTAGTAGAACCTATTTGTCGCGCACAGGTGGCACATAGACCAGCCACGCTTGCAGCGGACCGAAGTGGGCTGCCCTGTTCACATGCATTTTTTGTGCTGTTTTTGGTGGCTGGCTACTGCTTATTTTTCTTTCTTTCTTTTTCTTGTGTAGTTTTTTTTCTTTTTCCGTTTCATTTTTTTTCGTTTCAGTTTTTCTTCTTGCACATTTTATTTATTATAATTATTTTCCTAATATATGGTGTACATTTTCCAAGTACACGCAGATTTGTTTTTTAATATATACAGTGAATTCATTTTTGTGAGATACACATTGAATGTTTTTAATATATTTGAACATTTTTATATACGGTAAAAGTTTTTCAATATACGGTGGACTTTTGTCTCCAACTCACTGTACTTTTTTAAAATACACACTGAATATTTTCTTAATATTGCTTACATTTTTTAACATAGTTATTTTTATCTAGACCGCTCACAAAATGAATAGTCGGATTTTTGGAAAATTCTGACTAGAAACGTGAAGAGGAAAAAGGAAAGCAAACCTGAAGGAGTGCGGGCCGCCCGATTTGCGAATCACCTCAGGCGTCACATCTTCTGTTTGATGCCTGCAAGCGTCCAATAGGAGGACTCCTATGCTTTCTAAGCATTGCAAATGGAGAGGTAATGTTTAGTATCATAGCTTAATAATCTGTGTCTCAAATTATTTGTCTTATATTTATCTAGATATGAATGTATCTAGACAAATTTAAGACAAACAATTTTGGACGAAGGTAATATATGTGTAATGATAGCCGTCCACCAGAATGGCAGCATTTCACCAAGATCACTTCAAGACATGACGACAAATGGCGGTAGGTGGCTACATGGATGGGCTGCTCTGCATTGGCCCGAGGCGACTGGCTTATGTCCGCAATAAGAGTTTGTCAAGCCATCGTCCGCAGGGCGACACCCAATCGCAAGCGAGGCTTCAAGATCATGATGGCCTGGGAGCTCTCGAAGGAAAGAAATGCTGCTGTTTTTAGAGACAAGATACCACTCATCAAGCATGACCGAAGCTATTAGACGCAACATGGAGCAATGGGGAACCGCAGGCACCAGAGACGTAGAGTCCACGTTTAGGGATAAGATCGCGAGATAACACCCTAGGGTTTTTTTTCCCTGCCCTTTTTCTGTTTTCTTTCACTTTGTCCGTGTACCATGATAGCTTGATCACCATGTTTTCCACATGCTCTCTGCTAAATCAATGAAGTCGGCGCTCACCGGATCTTAAAAAAGAAAATACATGACGAAAGACGGCGACATTGCCATGCCTCTGGAGTCTGGTTACGTTGGACGTAACTATATGCTAACCACAAGAGTTCAATACAGATTGGGACTTAGTGTGGTGTACTAGTACTAGCCTTGCAATGATCTTGTTGGTGTTTAGCAAGTGCAGGTACCATTCCTGTTGCGAGGATGGCATGACACTGACAGGTTACGGACCCTGCTCCCTAGCTAGGATAGGGCCGCTGGATATTAGCCCGGCAGGCTCCTACGACCTGTCACCCTCGAAGCGATCCGGCATGGACGTCTGGCCTCTGAAGGAAGACGACGACTGTATTATCTATCACACTCCACGGGCGCGCCCATGTCGTCGATCGATCCATCGATCCGACATTCGCGGCAGCGCCGTACCGGACCCGGCCGGCCGGCCGGGCAGCAGCGATAGATGGACCGACGTCGTCGATGTGCTGGTACAACCGATCGATATGGAAGGCCTTCCTGTCGCGCCTTTCGGTCGGAGGCGGATCTGAGGTCGCCTTCTTCCACGGCAGTACGTGTGGGTGTGGATCGACGATCACCTCATGGAAATTCTGGTGATTTGGTGTGAAGCTTTCGGGCATTGCTGCTTGAGCTCATCGCACTTCTGCTCGGGTCGAAGCTGTCACTAAGTTCACTCGCGTTAGACCGGTCCATGCGTCCACTTCTCATTTTCTAATAATTATTACTTTTCTGTTTTTCTCTCTTCTTCTTTTTTGCAAAAAAATCATACCTATTATAAAGATTCACCGAACGTACAAAGCATCTCAAACATGAAGCAACATCGAGGCCCATGGACCATCGAACGACCATTGCCGCTGCCAGAATGAGCCGCTGACGCGCCGTTATCGCCGCTCCCATACCGAAGCCGGCATGACCTTGTCGATTACAGCTGGGAAGTTTTCGTGCACACGCCCCTAAGAACCAGCGCCCTGGAGCCGCAGTTGTCATCGTTGAATCCTTAAATCGATCTGAAGAGCCTGGCACCCTAACCTCGTCGTCCCAAAGAGCTGGCAGGAATCTATGTCGGAGCTTAGTATAATACGTCCCAATGGATGAGCTTGAGGAGGCTCAGAGCCCGGAAGACTGACTCGAAGAAGGAGTGCCGCCATCAATCCAAACGCCGCCCCGACGAGGACTAAAACCCTACCTATCTACTAGCGGTAGTCGAGACACCAGGATTCTCCTCCCCGCCATCGGCCGCCGGAGCGGCAGGCAGAGGGAGGCGAATCCACGGGCTCCTGGTGGAGAGTGAGGGGAGGAAGGCTTTCCCAATTCGCCTTGGAAGAGAGGAAAGAAAAGTCATTTTTTTCTCTCGATAGTATTTAGAAATGTTCTAAATACTACCCCTCCGTCCCAAATTATTTTTCATAGAGTCAATGTACCTAGAACTTAAAATACGTCTAGATACATTAATTTCTCCGAAAAGTAATTTAGAATGGATGGACTATTTTTTTAGAAAAACTATTTCTCCTATACTAATTGTATCATAGGTTACTTGATTTGTATTTTAAGAAGTGTTCCTCGTGCATTTTAAAAAGTGTCCGAGAATATGAAAAATGTTCGTGAATTCAAAATTGTCCATGAACTAAAAAATTGTTGGCAAATTTGCAAAAACGTTCATGGATTAAGAAAATATTCATGAACTCAAAAACTGTTAACAAAAAACATGTTTACAGATTTGAACAAACTGATGTACTTTTTTGAAATTGATGAACTTTTTCAAATTTGCCAATATGTTTAAAAATTTATAAAATTTTCCTAATGCATGAACGTTTTCAAATTCATGAATTTCTTATGTGAGCTTTTCAAATTCTCATGAACAATTTTCAAAACCGGTAATTTTTTTGAAACCCATGATTTTTTTGAATTCATGTACTTTTCCAAATTCATGAACTGTTTCAAATTCAAAATCTATTAAAAATTTGTGCACTTTTTTATCTAATTCGCCAAGTTTTTCAAATTCTGGACCATTTTTTTTCAAATCTATGAACCCTTTTTGAAAATTGTGAAATTGTTTACTATAATTCCTCTAGCTGTTTTTTAAGCAACAGAGCAACTCCTGAAAAAGTTTGGTCGAGCGACCGCACACGTGGTATCTTTCTTCAAACCCATAGGAAAACTCGGGCCAGTTTTTTTATCAATTAGAGCAAGCCAGATGAGGAAAAGCAGAAAATAGTACCAAGCGATGGAATGACGAGCGTAGGTAATCAACGACTATTACCGTGCTTCGGACCACCTCTATACCGCGCGAGCACCACCTTCGGTGGGAGGACCTGAAGCGCTGAAGAGGCGTTCTCTTCTTTTCATGAATAACCATGAAGAACAGAATCCCTAATTCATAATTGGATGCCGTTCTATTTCCTTAAGAAAGAGATTTCCAATATATGTGAATCACGAAAGAACCAATGGTGGGAGGGCGTAAAAAATCATTTACGGGGTTGGCTCCCGTGGAAAATACATGTGGGAGAGCAATTGTATCTATTTTACTTGCCAACTCTTTCAACAATAGCTGTATTAAAGTGGTAATCTGACACCCAAGACATTGGAAGTAATGAAATAACTTGTCAGTTGTCACTGTATTACCAATCAGACACAAGGCATTGCTGAGCACCAACTCACAGCTGGCTTCCTCCCTCAAAAAAAGAAAAAACTCACAGCTGGCTTCCCAAATGATGCATAATTAGCATTTCGAACTGAAACCATGTCTTTCGTGCTTTTCAGCAATGCAAAACTGAAAGTAAGCAGGGGAAAACAGAGAACAGTTCTGAAGCATATACGCTACGTTGATTCTTCATAACACTAACATGGTGTTCAAGATAGCATAACAAGAAGCATAGGCGCTACTTCCGCCATCGAAATTGTTCGGTTCTACTACAAAATAGGAAGAAGAATGAACAGAAGACATCACTCATTTTGGTTAGATGCTGCAAGCTTGCAACGATAGGATTTTGAGTAAAACTGACAATGAACAGCTTAACAGAAGAGCCAAGCGCCAGCAGTAAACCGATAAACCCACAGACAAAAAAAGGCAAAAGAGACAGCCATATTACACTAGCCAATGGCAGCATAAATAGACGGTCACCAGCCTTCCAACAGACCACAGCATGCTGGTTAAGATAGGACTCCAGTAACCTATTCCTACAAATAAATTCGAAATCCTGGACATAAATGTAGCAGCCAAAGCTCTTTTATCTGAAATGGTGAAAGCCAGTGCAACAAAGTTCTTGCTAACTTTTTCAACAATAGTTGTACTGAAGTAGGAATCAGACACATGACAGTGGTAGCTAGTGACCAAATTACTTGTCGCTGTAGTAAACAATCAAACACAAAACTACGCTGAGCACCAAAACACTGATTGCTTCCCAAATGATGATAGCAGAATTTTGTGCTTTTGGACAATGGAGAACTGAAAGTAAACAGGGGAGAAAATTGTAGAAGTGTAGAACAGTTCTAAAGCATATAAGCTCCATTGTTTTGTTTATAACATATACATTATACTGAAGATAGCATAACAAGTACCAAATGTTGATAGCACAAGCGCCACCTCCTCAGTCCTAATAGTTCAGTTCTACTACGACATAGTAAGAACATGGCCCATATATGGGATAAGACACTCCAGCGGCACAGCAAGCAAGGAGTCCAAAGTATTATAGATAGGAGCACGGCATCTTATAGAAGTATGGTGAACGGAGGCTCCTCGTTCACGGCATCTTTTTGTCGCGTCTCAAACAATGGAAGCGAAATCATGCTCTCCTGGAGGCGATGCCTAGTGAGTGTCAAAGGTTTTGCAAACTGACTCAAAATGTTTGCATTGTCTTTGCTTTCCACATTTCCTAAAAACACACCATCAATGCCACAGTGCAATAGACGGTAAGGACCATGCTGGATCAACAGCTCACGGCCATTGACCACAGCCATCACAGGGTCATGCTTCACACTCAAATTAAGCGGCGGTGATGCCTCCATCACCCGCAAGTCAATCCGGTATCGAAATGCCCACGTCTCGGCATCATACTCCTGCAGCACCCACAGGTCTAGACTGACGCAGTCACCGGACGTGCGGCCCAAAGCAAGGTCGCCACCAAGATCGAACAATAACACCATGTCACCCGGCAACTGTGCCGGGTGGCTCATCTGCCGGAATGTCTCGGTCACGGTGTCGAATACCGTTATGCTGAGGCCCAGTGCCCAGTGCAGGCCACCACGATAGTGTACTGGTGGATGGTCAGAGGACCGGGTAGCCGGAAAAATCTCTAAAACTGCCGGCCATTGGACGCATCTTGGCTGGTCCGATCCCACCGGGAGGACGAAGTAAGCAGGCGGCTTGACCGCGGCGCCCCTCGCCATGGGTGCCGAGTATATCGCCCAGAGCACGCGGTGCTCTCCGGACAATTGGTGCCGGTAGAAGGCGACGACGGTGGCGGCGCTGAATCCTGGCCGCAGTGGAGGATGTGACAAGGAAGCGCACTTGCGGGTGGCCGGGTTGCACATGTAGAAGCTGGAGTGCCGCGACAGGATGAGGAGGCCATCGCAGGCGGCGTGGTGTATGGTGGAGAAGTTGGAAGCTGTATGGCGGCGGGTGTACCGGATGACGGGCCATATCTTGTGATCTCCGGCGGCGGCGAAACGGGAGATGCCCTCTTTGTGTCGCTGGATGATGGGGAGCGACGGCTGGCGGCGGTGGTTATCGAGGATGAACTTGTCGGTGGAAGTGACGGCGCGCCACAACTTTTGGACGGCGCGGCAGCGGAGCACGTGCTTGGGCGACAGCCGGACCAGGATCTCGTCGGCGACGAGACTCTCGGGGAGGTCGTCCAGCACGGTGGCGCCGCTGCTGTCCGGCATGCTGGCTGCTCGCTGCGTTGGCAAGAGAATAAAAAAGAAAAAGAAGTATTAGCACGGATTGGCGCAAGAAGATGAAGCAAAACATTAGCGTCGGCGATAACATAGTAGAAAAGAAAACGAAAATAGGAGATGGGGCGAGCAGCGACGACGGATTGAGAGCAAGAAAGAATTGCTTGGGCGATCTGCAAATCGAGACAAGAGGATTTACCTTGTGGCGGACGGTCGGCCGGCTGATTTTCCAGCGGGGAAGAAGGGCTCCGGCAAGCAATGGGCCGTGCTATGGTAGCTCTTGATAGTTGAGACCTTGGAGGGGGCATGCGAAGCCCGTAGAGTTGAGCGGCGCCTCAGGGCAAATTTTCGTGTTTTGCCCTTTTGTTGAAGTTTATCCAGATCTGACCCCGATTTTTTTTTGTTTGAAATCTAACCCTTTTTCCTATCGTCATAGGGCTCAGCGGTAGGATTACATATCCTATCGCCATGACCTTCGGCCATAGGAGACTAATCCACGTCAGCAGCGTAAACGGCCGCCGCCCCCCTCCGTCCCACCCTACCGCCGCTGGTCCTGGCGGTAGCCTGTCTGATCTCCTGGCGGTAGGGTGTGGGCAGTTATAAGCCGCGGGCTGCCCGCCCCACCCCCTTCTCCCCCATCCAGCCGCCCCCAAGAACAGAGGAGTTCTTTCTCTCGTCCCCCTCTCTTATCTCCTCCACTCCCCCCTTCAGATCTTCTTCATTTCTTCACCGTTTTTTGCGGATCAAGATGGCCCCGAAACGAGAAAAGTAATCTCCTCTTATCCCTCAAATTAGTTTTAGTCAAATAGCTTCCGATTAGTCGCATTATTTGATTCAAATAACCCATATTTTTAAACTAGATTTAAATCTTTTGTACCCTAGGATTGTTTTTGGTTGATTCTAGATGTTCTATTGTGTTCTATTGTGCGGACATTTATAAGCCAAGGCTATGATCCATATACTTGTGTGCCCAACCGAGCACAATATTCACAGTAAAGAATATTGTTCTGTACACAGAGTGCATATTTGTTGTGTGGACTGAGCAAATCATGGCAAATGATTAAACTAAAGAACAGATCGATGATGATTTCAAGAATGGCAGACAATAATTTACCAACAAGCGTCGTATGCCAAGAACACACAACTTATTAGTAAGAAATGTCTTTGTTACTATCGTTCTTCCCACACAATTAGCCGGTGCACCCTTGTCCATTGTCCGCGTTCACCTCACCATGTCGGCCTCTGCTCGTGTCCCTCAGTGCGCTATGCTCGCCGTTAGGCACCGCGACGCGCTCTGCTCGCGTCCCTCCACGCGCTCGGCTTGTGGACGACTTTTCCCTGCGTGTTCAACTACTATATGCATATGGTTGCTCGCCGTGGAGGCGGCCACAGAGCCCTCTGCTCGCGTCCCTCTGTGCGCACTCTGCCAGCGGTTGGGGCTGGCGCACGATCATATTGGGGGACCCATATGCATGCGATTGCACCGCACGCGTCGCCTCCAGCGTGCCGATATTCCAGGCCGTCCGGCTTTCCCATTAATTCCCAGGGCCATTATAATCTTAGTCTCTTCAACCTTTCGATTGCACCCCACAACACAATAAGCACACCCACGATGACACATACATGGAGGATATCTAGCGGCAATACAATGGAGTTCAGAGTGCATCAAGTGCAGACCCACACGAGGGAGGCGGATCTCCTGGTGGTGTACACCATCGACCCAACCGTGGTGGAGGACTGCATCGACACCGTGGAGCACTTGCTTGCTCGGGACAAGTACAAAGTGATCGGAATTGACTCCAGTACACCGACGGTCCTCTCGGGATATATCAGAAGGTTGTCGTCGCCCAGTTGTGTGTGCGCCATCATGTCCTCATCTACTACTATTGCATGACCACAAAGCCTTGTGACTGTTTCGCCAGGTTTGTCAACAACACCGACTGCAAATTTGCTACGATGGAAACCATCGATGATGTAAAAGCGCTCAAGGTTACGGGCTTGGCATGCAAGAACCTTGTCGAAATCCATGGCCACTACAAGGTCTGGGGCAGCACGAAGAAGGACTCCCTAGTTGAACTCGTTTCGGCCATCATCGACCCCTACTACGAAAAGATGAAGGAGGATGCCAAGAGAAATCCAGTATCCTGGCACGGGGCCTGGATGCGGAAACTAGATGAAGCTTACCTCAAGTTCGCGGCCAAGAACGTGTACGCATGCTACGAGATGCACAGGCGGATCATTGACATGAGAAAGTGCCTCCTTCCCTTAATCGACGAGGGATCGAGCCACCAGCAGAGCAGTGGCGACAAGCATCACAAGAAGAAGTAGATGATGATCAGATGATCACTTATCCTAATTAATTATGCATGTATTAGTTTACTTTGGTGTGTGCACATGTCATGTGTGTACTAGCCACCTATATAATTGGACCTTTAATTTGATTATGCAATCACGTACTTATAAGTATATATGTTGTTGTTATGCAAACACATTCGCATACGGACCATACTAGGGAAACCGTCGGTAATGAATTCATCAATCGTTGACAATTGTATACTAGCAAACATTCGTCCACAACACACACGGCTTATTAGTAGCGATCGTCTTTGTTATTATCGGTCTTCGCACACATTTATGATTATGGACCTATTTGCCGCGTATCACACGCATCTTGTTAAGTTGAACCGATTCTGTACTCTTGCGTCAACGCAAATAGTTCATCGAGGTGAATTGTATGCCCTCTATCGCACACACCTAGATCTGGCTGACCATTTCTGTCGTGTTGCCTAATCACAAACAGTTCATCCGAGTGAACTGTATATCGTATATCGCACACATTTTCATCTGGCCGACCGTTTCTATTGTCATGCTCATCGCAAACAGTGCATTCGAGTGAAATGTATGCCACGTATCGCACTATAATCTGAATTGTGTTTGATGTCTCCGGCATCGCAGACAGTTTGTATCATTTTTGACGGTTTTCTTACAACACCATTTGCGATTACTGCATCGCACGCAGTTTCATCGAAGAGTCTTTGGTTGTAGTGTCGCATTTGTACCATCTTCAGAACCTTACGCACTGCCCGATGGCTACAGCGTGCAGGCCGAGTGCCATCCTACAAGCTGGGCCTATGGCATATGCATATGTGCATGTGGTCTAACTTCTGCTCAAAGAGGAAATCAAGTTTAGACATAAAAATGACGAAAATACAAACGGGGAAAGGGGTGGAACAGATCCCAATGCTTGCATGTGGCCGAGATAGCACACTCTCTGCTAAGAAACACATTTGCCATGCTTTTCCCTATATATATAGAAGTATGACTCATATATGTAATCATGCATGTAACTTCAACAATGAACATGATCATGCCAAGTGTGATGGTGTCTTGAGGGTGTTTAAGTTCAAATCCAAAGTCGTGTTGCCAGTTGTCACGTCATATCATGCCATCCTACATATTCTTATGTGATTCATGTGAACTGTCTAATTACGTAATCATGTTAATGGTTGTCACGTATCAATTTGTACAGATGACGTTTACATATATTTTTAAGAATTGATAAAAAGAAAAGAAGCGAGATTGGCACTATTATACCCCCTCAATCCAATAGTGAATTGTTCTTATCGACCCTCTTACAAACGAATCCCCCCCCCAATTTTTCCTCCCACTCCCTCTCCCCTGGCCGCCACCCTCGTCATCCTCCCGATGGCTGCCTCGCCGGATTCGTCATGTACCTCAGATTCCGGAGGTTCCTCGTTGTCATCCCCGATGCGGGTGTTCCCTCCTTTGTCGTTGTGGGATACTGACATGGTAGGCAAGGTGTCGATGTAGAGGCATCTCGCGGCGGAGGCGCAAATTTAGGTGAGGCTCGCCTTCGCCGACCTCCTCTTCACGTACCATGCGGATATGGATTTAGCTAAGATCCAACTCACCATGGATTACACCTTCACGGTACGTGCAAACTTGAGAGGAGGTCGAGGTTGCGGGGCTGCGAGGAATGAGAGGCAGCGGGGATGGGACGGTGGTCGTAGACCCAGACGAGCCAAGATATGGACGAGAGCGCGTATCTGGGCCACCGGGATCGGATCAGGAGGGGTACCGGTGGGCCTAAGGAGTTGGAAGGGGATGTAGCTCCCAGAGCGTGTCGGAGACGAAGATGCACTGGGGTGGACATCCAACCAAGGCACTCGTAGTGTGGTGGTTGTGTGAATACGTCGAGGAGCCTATGAGTCAAGGGAGATGGAAAGAGCGCAGCTCCTAGGGCTGGTCGGGTCCAAAGCCACACTGGCCGACAATGAACATAGAAATGGGACGTAGGTCCATGCCCGCCGAGCCATAACCGCCCCTGGGGGTGGGGTGGGTGGTATCAAAGGTGTCTCGTGCGCAGCCAAACTACCAACCGGCGCGGTGGAAGAGGTAGCCAGCGTTGGGTACAACCACAACCAGCCACCTCCCGAAGAGGCCGACCCGAAGATCGAGCAGAAGGATGGGGGTCGAGGGGCAGGAGCCGCAGCTAGCAAGCCGGATGGCCAAACGTACCGCAACTAGATGGAAAGGCCACCCAAATCGTGTCCAAGCTGGACGGGAGCCAACGAGGGGTAGCTGCAGCCGAGGCAGGCCACCTGCGCCGCTGACGAGTAGGGGAGCCAGGGTAGGTCGTTGCCGCCACCACCAAACTAGATCTGAGGTGGGTTGGGGCGGAAGAAGGAAGAAGGAAAGATGGCACTAGTAGAAAACAGGGCTTTGGTTCTGGCCAGACCAGAGCAACAGTCCCAGTCGACCTACGAACTGGGACTAATGCGTGCCTCAGTCCCATTTTGAGCGGCCAAGACGCCGGCCAGGCCTCAGCAAGCACGAGTCCCGGTTCGGCTGGGACCTTTAGTCCCTGATCCAGACACCAACCGGGACTAAAGGGCCTCGCTCCTGGCGTAACCTCTTTAGTCCTAGTTGGTGTCTGGAACCGGGACTAAAGGTCAGTCTTCAGTCCTGGT